TTGCACCATGTGGTAGGTGCAGTTCTAACGCAGTGCATGTACTAATTCACTGAACCACACAACAACCCTGTAAAGGAAGTCCTACAATTATCTTCATTTTACAAAGGTGGAAACTTAAGCTCAAAGACACTAAATAACTTGAATAGGATCATATATAGTCAACATATTCAACTCCTAAGAACTACGGAAATCTTGATGAAAGCTGTGAAATCTGACAGAGGAATGGGGATGAGAACAAACAAAAACTTTCATCATGTGAGAAAGGCAGATTAATTAGCTTTCTGGGTTAGGAATGGACATTTCCTCCAAGTCTAGAAAAAAAAAAAAAAATTCTCACACCTCTCTCATATCTCTTTTGCCAGGATCATGATCTGTGTGGATGTGAGAAAAAAATACCTTCTGGCTATCCGGTTAGTATTAGTGGAATACAATCATACGGCGTTTAACCATGTATATCAGCCTCTGTTTTAAAGTGCTTTAAATATTCTTATTCACTAACTCCTCACAGCAGCTCCCTGAGCAGGTAGTATTGTTTTACAGAGGAGGAAAACTGAACCACAGAGAGGTCAAGCAATTCTTCCAAGATCACTAGTAAATAGTGGAAATGGAATTCAAACACACACAGCCTACAATCTATGAGATTCACCATGCAACTGCTATCTCTCAAACGTTCAATTTTAAAAAGCTCAATTAAGTATTTAATTAGACTTAAAAGAACCTTGCAGGGGGGAGGGGTACTAGGGATTGAACTCTCGGGTGCTCTACCAGGGAGCTACATTGCAGTCCCGACTTTTTTGTTTCGGGGACGAGGACCAGGGATTGAAGTCAGGGGCTCTTGACCACTGAGTCACATCTCCAGCACTACTTTTATTTAGAGAGAGGGTTTCACTGAGTTGCTTTAGTGCCTCATTGTTCCTAAGGCTGGCTTTGAAGTCACAATCGTCCCTCAGCCTCCAAAAATCAATAGGATTACAGGCGTGTGCCACCACACCTAGCTATCCAGCCCTTTTTATTTTGAGATAGGGTCACACTAAGTTACTGAGACTGGCCTCAAACTTGTGATCCTACTGCCTCAGCCTCCCGAGTAGCTGGGATTACACACATTAGGTATACACATCCAACTAAAGCAGAACTTCTTGACGATAATGACTATAACAAGGAAGTTCCAAAGAGACATCTGGAGATACCACACCATAGAAGCTTTGAAGATAGATCCAAGGGCCACAAGCTGATGATCTGAAGGACAAATTTGACCCTCAGATGATATTTTCTTAACATAGGGTTCGTTTATGATTTTGTTTTTGTTTCTTAGTATTGGGGATTGAACCCAGGGCCTTATGAATGGTAATCACGTGCTCTACTACTGAGCTCAATCCCAGCCTGTTTGTTTGGAGCATATACACATGTTGTAAATACTATCCTGTATTCTTTCTGATTCATACATTTCTAGACTGGCCCCCATAAGAATCTAGGTTTATTAATCCTGAAAAATACTAGTTTTGTACTATTTAAGAATTTACCTACAAGAAGCCAGGGAATGAACCAAATGACCTCTTAAGACTCTCTCCAAGTGCTCTGATTCCCACATTATTTTAAAGAACATTGCTATAATTTGGATAAGTATTCCCCAAAGACCCATGTGTTGAAATCCTGGTCAACATATTAGGTAGTGGAACCTTAAGAGATGGGGCCTAGTAGGAGGAAGTTAGGTCACTGGGGGCATGTCTTAGAAGGGATATTGGGGCCCTGGTTCATTATTTTTATTTTTTTGCTTCTTAGCCACCATGATGTGAACAGGCCTCCTCCACGGTTTACTCCTGGTTGGCCTTTTGGTTTTGGGCTGTAGACTGAAACCTCTGAAACTCTCGAGTCAAAATAAACCTTTCCTATTTTTAAATTGATTAACTTGGATATTTTATTACAGTTACAGAAAGCTGAGACAAACACACATAAACATAAACCTGGCTTATAAGAAAATGGTCTTGATCTTGGAAAAACTACACTAAAACATTCCAGTGTTGCCAAGTTTTTGATTTTCAATTCTGCAGTACAGAGTAAAAATGTTGCAATTAATGGTTTTTTGTTTGTTTTTGTTTTTTAGTTATGGTTGGACATTTATTTATTTAGTTTTATGTGGTGCTGAGGTTTGAATCCAGTGACTTCCCATGTGCTAGACAAGCACTCTACTGCTGAGCCACAACACCAGCCCCACAATTAATGTTTTAATTACATATTAAATATTGAAATTAATAATGGAAACAGGATTAAAAGATATCTTTAATAAGCCAAAGTGATACGTTTGTATAACACAAAAGAACAAATTATTTTATAGTTTACATTAAGATGTTTGTTATCATTTATCACTTTGGTTTGGATTGCTGAGAATAAAATGTGAATATTTTTGGTTTTTTAGAAAAAAGATTTCTATTTCAAAAATTTCAATCTAATAAATTGTAAGAATGGCATATTGAACTGCATGCTTTCACCTAGATTCACCACTTAAACATTTTATTATCATTATTACCATCATTTTGCTGGACTGTTAGAGAATAAATTGTAGACATTGTAACAGTTTCCTGAAATATTCTAGTGTAGATCTTCCAAGACCAAGAACATTTTCTTATAAGCCATAAGGTTTATGTTTGTGGTGTTTGTCTCAGCTTTCTGTAACTGTAATAAAATATCCAAGTTAATCAATTTAAAAATAGGAAAGGTTTATTTTGACTCAGAGTTTCAGAGGTTTCAGTCTACAGCCCAAAACCAAAAGGCCAACCAGGAGCAAACTGTGGAAGAAGCCTGTTCACATCATGGTGGCTAAGAAGCAAAAAAATAAAAATAATGAGCCAGGGCCCCAATATCCCTTCTAAGACATGCCCCCAGTGATCTAACTTCCTCCTACTAGGCCCCATCTCTAAAGTATCTAAAATACTTATAATGAAGTAAAAGTTGAGATCAAGCTGGATACTAGTCTACCATGCCTTGGAGATAAAAGTGCATAGAAAAGAAGGAGCCAGTGATAGAGGCAGTAGTGCGAACTGTTACCTGATGCTATATGATAAGAGCTGGTTTTATGTTTGACTTTTATGGAACATGGGGTTCAAGTCATCAGAAACAGAAATGCCAAGCTCTCTGAGGATGAGCAGCAGTTCCTAGCTGAACCGGTCAGACTGACCTCTAGCCTAGAAGGAAGCTCACCAGGCAAGTACCTTTAGGGGCAACCAGTTGATTACACCACTCAGTAAAAGCAGGGTAGAGGGAGACTGAGAAGAAAAAAATATAAGGGCAAATGAAGTAGGGGCAGGGAGGTAATGTTTAAACACTAACAAGTCCCTTATTCTTGAATGTCTGTTTCTTCAAATACAATAAAGTGAAATGAATTTATTTCAAGAAGCCTCCAAAGAGCTAGGGTGAAGTTCATTGGTAGAGTATCTGCTTGGTGTTTTCAAGGCTCTGGGTTCCAGCCCCATCAATGGAACTCCCAAGTTCCTGAGTCCTTGAGATGAAAGTAAAGGGCAATTATAGCAGAAGCAAAGATGACTCAGAGCTTCCCTTGTTTGTTCTCCCATGAACTGAAATATGAGGACAGAGGAAGAACGAATGATCCTCTGAGCCACTCTTACATCATAATTCTGGTGCCAAGAACATGGAAAAGCAGCCTAAGGGACCAGGTAGGCCCTGAAAAATTCCAGATGGTACTCCAAATGGTATCTGGATGATCTGGGATGCTGGCCACTGTAGAGGGAATTAGGGTTCACAGCTCAGCCTTAGGAGTAGTAAGGCTCCCAGGGGTGAGCTAAGGAAAAAAGAGAAAGGCAATAAAGAACAGCAGCCAGAAGAAGTTCAGGCCACTAGTTATGAAAAAGAGTTAGAGGTTTGCAAAGGGAGAAAACTGGAAGGGAAAATGTTGAAAGAGATAAAAATATAGTTTCAGGAGACAGGGACTAGAAATGTCAATGCTTAATAATGAAAGTAAAGAAAGAAGTTCAGGGGCTAACGGTATGTATAGCCAGTGGCAGAAAGCCTGCCTAATATGCACAAGACCCTGGATTCAATCTCCAGCAAAAGAAAGAAAGAGAAAAAGAAAAACGTTTATAAGAAGGGAAAAAAAAGATAGTTGACAATAACTAGAAAGCAAAGCAAAAGCCAGGTTCAGTGGCGCATGCCTGAAATCCCAGCAGCTGGGAAGGCTGAGCCAGCTTCAGTGACTTAGCAAGGCCCCTAAGCAAGTCAGTGAGACCCTGTCTCTAAAAATGAAAATACATAAAAAGGCTGGGGATGTGGCTCACTGGTTAAGGGCCACTGAGTTCAGTTCCTGGTATCAAAAAAAAAAAAGTGAAGCAAAAATAAAAAAGCAATTCATAGTCATATATAATATTGCAGTTGATTTATCTATTTTATTAAATGAGATTTTGAATCAAGTGAATTTATTGCAAATTATTTTAAAATAAGCTTTTTAAATGATTTTATTATTATTAAAGTATTTAAAAATTCCTAATGTAACTTTTAAAACAACTTCTTTAAAAAGTGAAGCCAGTGTAATAAAATAAAATTAAACTTTTTTTCAGGTTTAATAATTCCTTCTTTTTTGTCAGGCTTTTGGAAGAAAGTAGAGAGAAATGGTTTAAATAAACTCATCTGCAGACAGTAGCCTGCTGATCGACTGGCTCCTCACGAGAAAAAACAGTCCTGACTTGTGGCATTGATTTGAACAGTGTTGATTTGAACCATGTAAATATGCCCACCATACCCAGTTCCAAGCTATTGACCATCAACTTGAAAGTCACTCAAGGTGGCATCTGGGAGAAATGCGTAAGTAGCATTCCACTGTAAAGTATGTTCACCAAGCATACACTAGACATACATGACCTCAACTGCATAAATAAGAGTAAACTGTAGTAAGGTCATTGGGAAATGGTAAATTTTGAGTTTTTATAAACTTTGGGTTTTTTCATTCTTAACAAAAAACATTTATTTTACATTTTATCCAGAATAACTTGAAAAAAAATACGGGGCACTTCATGAGTTAGTGTGTAATCACTGTATAGGGGACATGCTAATCTCCATATTATTCCAATTTTAGTAGAAGTGCTACCAAAGTGAGCACCCTTGTTTTTAATACATTTAATTAAGTTTTTATAACTTGAAAAATATAAACTAATTTTTAACAATGGCTTGGAGAATTCCTGAAAATTTAGCACTCGGCTCTTATGAGCTGGCCCAAGTCAGCATGATTTGCCTCCAGCACACTCCGAATACTCTCCCCCACACCCCCGCTTTTATACAAGTTAATATTCTACCATAAGATACAAAACAGAAATTAAATACAACTCTTTTTTGGGGGGGAGCTTTAAAATATTATCTTCCTCCTTTTAAATCAATTTTATAGGATTTTTAATAAATTACCAACCTGTCAATTTTGATAGGGTTTATGGAGAAAATTACTGTCTCCTACAAAGATTTTTATTTTTTTCAAAGGTTTTTAAATATGCAGATGAGTACTATTTGTCTTTGGCAAAGTATGGAGATGTCATAAACTGATAAGAGGTACAAATTAACACCAAAAGCCTTTATAGTTAAGTATATGTTTATGCACTTGCACCACACAGAGAGTAGTAAACATAAAAGTTAAATTATTTCAAAACAAATGAGTCACATTAATGGCCCAGAAGTGGCATCATCACTTAATTTGGATCACCTAAAACACAGCATTTTGATCACTTAAAATGTTTGACCTAGTGAAAGCCGCTTTCTTACAGGCATTCAAGGGTGTAGTAGTATCACGTTCCTGACACAAGGTGGAGCCAGTGTCACGAAGCTAGGCTGTGAGTGTTCAGTTAAGGGCAGTCTAAGGTCAAAAACATCCGGAAGCAAAGACCTGATTCAGGACATCTGATGCAATCCTAAGAGGCAAAAGAATAGGCAAAACATTTTACTTCTATGAACTAGCTGATATATCATGCTAAGTATGAAAGAATATTTAAACAATTCAATTTCCAGGAAAAAGAAGAATTTGAAAATGAATTTCATTCATTTAACAAATATTTACTGAGCTCTACACTATGTGATGAGTAGTATTTACAGTAGAGAACAAAAAAAAAAGACCTTGCACTTATTTTCTTTGAAGCATTTTTCATAGATCAACCTTATTTTGAAACTAAATAATGAAATGAAGCTAAAATAATGGCAAAATCTATTCAGCAGAACTATTCTATTCATAAAAGGTCTTTTTTTCCAAGGAACCTCAAATCAAATGAAGATAATTAAAATATATATGTGTGTGTGTGTGTGTGTGTGTGTATTTCCCCAAAGTCTTTTGTTTCTAACTTACTGCAATGCTATTTCTTACATACGCCTATGTGCTCTAGTCCACAGTCCTCAAACACAAAACTCAGGAACTCCCATGCATCATTAAAAAAAAAAAAAAAAATACTAGGCATTGCAGAGTAAAACAATAAATAATTTAATGGCATAACTACTTTTACACCTACTATGGCTCAGGCACTTCCTTCAAATTATGATTACCATGATATATTAGAAAGACAAGGTCCCAAACTGGGCTGGGATTGTGGTAGACTGCTTGCCTAGCATGTGTGAAACTCTGAGTTCAATCTCAGAACCACATATAAATAAATAAAATAAAGATATTCTGTCCATCTGTAACTAAAAATATTTAAAAAAAAAAAAAAAAAAAAAAAAAAGAAAGAAAGAAAGACAAGGTCCCTGCTCTAACCATGGAACTTACAATCAGGTGGGAAAAAGCATGAACATAAATAAATATGAGCTAACTTTAGGCAGTAACAAATACTATGAAGAAATCACCACCATCTCCATTATTTTCATAACTGTATTAGTTTGCTTGGACTGCCATAACAAAATCATACACATTGAATGGTTTAAAAAAAAGCAATTTGTTTTCTCACAACTCTGATGACTGGAAGTCTGAAATCAAGGTATCAGTAGCTTTGCTTTTTTTGGAAGGCCTCTGCTTAACTTGAGAGGGCACTGCTTTCTCTGTGTCCTCACATGATCATTCCTCTGCACATCACCATCCCTAGTGTCTATATATCCAAACTCCCTCTTCTTATATATAAAGAACCAGTCAGATTGGATTGGGATCTACCTTAACAGCATCATTTTAAACTTAATTGCCTCTTAAAGACTTTATCTCCAATTAAAGTTACATTCTGAGGTCCTGGGAATCAAGACTTCAAAACACTCCAGGGGCTGGGGCTGTAGTTCAGTGGCAGAGCATTTGCCTAGCATGTGTGAGGCACTGGGTTCAATCCATTTGCACCACACAAAAAACAAGCAAATAAAATAAAGGCATGGTGTCTATCTACGACTGCAAATATATATATATATTTTTTTTTTATTTTAATAACCCAAGGGCAAACACTTCAAGACAGCAATATAGGCAATGAATTTTTTTAAAAAACAAGACCCCAGATGCACAGCCAACAAAAGCAGTAACAGCAAACAAATTCAAACTAAAAAGTTTCTGCACAGTGAAAGAAAAAAACCAACAGAGTGACGTGAAAACCAGCAGACTAGGAGAAAACATCTGCCAACTTTATATATCTGATTAGGGATTAACAGCTAGAAAATATGATGAACTCAACAATAAGGAAAAAATGGTTTTTAAAATGGTTAAATGATCTGACAGACATTTCTCAAAACAAGATAAACAAATGTCCTACAAGTATATGAAAAAAAATGTTCACTATCACACTACTCATTAGGAAATGCAAATCAAAACAACAATGAGATACACCAATTCACTCCAGACAGAATGACTTCTATCAAAAAAGCAAAAATAACAAATGCTGAAGACTGGGGGACAGGGGTCTTTTATATGCTAGTGATGGGAATGTAAATTAGTACAACCATTACAGAGAACAGTAGTTCCTTTAAAAACTAAAAATAGAACTACTATGTGATCCAACTATCCCACTTGTGGGAATATATTCAAAGGAAGTGAAATCAGCATATAAAAGAGATATCTGCACACCCATGATTATTGCAGCACTATTTACAATAGCCAACATGTGGAATCAACTGAGTTGTCTTCAACAGCAGATGAATGGATAAAAGTAAATGTGCACAATGAAGTGTTATTTAGTGATACAAAAGGATAAAATCCTGTCATTTGCAGCAAAACAGATGAAACTGTAGGACATTATGTTAAGTGAAATAAGCCAGGCCAGAAAGAAAGAAAGAAATGGAGACGCTTATACGGAGATTATATATATATA